GCGGGCATTTAAGGGAGGCCACGTGCTCGGAGCCATCCATCAAGCTGGAAGGAGGAGGAGAAGGATAGGCCAGCCTCTGCCAGAGACGAGGTGGTGGGTTTTCATGGGATAGTGGGAGGCAGACGCGATGCCGTTTGCGGGCGGCTCGTGCTCACATCCATAGGCGGAGGGGACAGGAGGGACATCAGCCTCTCATCCCCTCCCGTGCCAGGTGAACGGCAGCCATGTGAGCATCCCCTTCGTCACGGGGCTTTCCACAAAGATCTTCAGCCAGGAGGGCTTCTTGGTCATCGACTCCAGCCCCGACATCCAGATCCGCTACAACGGTTTCAACGTCATCAAAATCGTCATCGGGGAGCGGCTGCAGAACAAGGTGTGCGGCCTCTGCGGCAACTTCAACGGCGACCAGTCGGACGACTACGCGACGCTGCGGGGGAAGCCGGCGGTCAGCAGCGTGGTGCTGGCGCAGAGCTGGAAGACCAACGGCATGCAGAAGAGGTGAGCGGTCGGACGGCCCTTCCCCGCCGGGCGGGAGCGGGAGCGGGAGCGGGGCCGGCCGCGACGGGAGCCCCCGCGACGTGTCCGGTGCCCACAGCTGCAACGAGCTGCAGTACTCGCAGTACGCCGCCTCCTGCGACAACGTCCAGATCCAGGAGCTGCAGAGTGACAGCTACTGCCTGAAGCTGACGGATATGAAAGGCTTCTTCCAGCCCTGCTACGGCCTCCTGGACCCCCTGCCCTTTTATGAGTCCTGCTTTCTGGATGGCTGCTACAACCACAAGAAGGTCCAGCTGTGTGGCTCGCTGGCTGCCTACGGCGAGGCCTGTCGCACCTTCGGCATCCTGGGCACTGAGTGGATCGAGAAGGAGAATTGCTGTAAGAGAGCCAGGGGCCATCTGGGTCGAGGGGAGCTGTGTCCCACTGGGAGAGGGGGAGAGGGACTACTGGTGTGGGGGTGGCCCGTGGCAGCCGGAGGCACCCGCCCTGCGCTCCGAGGGTAAAAATCGTGTTTGTGCTCCGTCTTGTGCTGTTTAGCAGGAGTGGTGGAAGATCCCTGCGTGGGTGCCGACTGCCCCAACCGCAGCTGCGAGCTGGACAATGGCGGGGAGCTGTGCGGCTGCATTGAGCCCCCGCCCTACGGGAACAGTGAGTGCTCTGCGTCCTGGCCACAGGGCCAGCGCCGGGTGGCGTGGGTGTGCGTTAGGTTGTCGTACCGCCGGGGCTTCGGGAAGGGAAGGGAGGTGCTGAGGGTCAGGACCTCTGCCGAGATGGGGTTTTGTGACCATGCGTGGTCCAGGACAGGAGCAGGGAGCAGGTTTCCTGGAGCGCGTGTTATGGGTATCTCTGGCTTTGGGGCACTTGGAGCAGCAGGGATGTTGGATGGGCCACAGGAGATGGTCCCGGTCCGTTTCTGGTGGTGGGGAGGAGGGCTGGTTGTGCCGGCAGCCTGGGTGCCATTTGTGGTGATCTGAAGAGTCCTCATCTTCTCCTCTAGCCACCCACGACATCATTGATGCGGAGGTGACCTGCAAAGCCGCCCAAATGGAAGTGTCCATTTCAAAGTGCAAGCTGTTCCAGCTGGGCTTCGAGCGCGAGGGGGTGCGGGTCAACGACCGCCACTGCCCTGGCATTGAAGGGGAGGACTTCATCTCCTTCCAGATCAACAACACCAAAGGCAACTGTGGCAACTTGGTGCAGGTGAGCCAGGGCATGGGCCATGCGGGGCTGGGAGCAGGGGCCAGGCTGTTCATCTTGGGTGTCTTCCCATTCGTGCGAATGTGAGGGCGGAGGAGGCGGGGGGAGCGTGCCCTTGGGAGGTGGCTTGGTGGAGCAAAAGGGAAACAAGAGGCAGTTGGTTCCCGGGACACACACACAGCTCCAGTGGTCAATCAGGGCGGCTTGCACTTGGGAAGCAGGTTGCGGGTGGGCTTTGTAGCACGCAATCTTTTGGCACAGGGTTGCTCTCACCTCGCTGACTGGTGTCCTCATCCAGAGGATGCAGGAGGAGACAGCAGAGTAGTTGGGAGGCTGAGGAGAGCAGCCTCTGTATTCTGAGCTGTTATGTATGTGAGGAACTTGGTGGCATGGGGGCCATCGGGGCAGCATGGCTTCATGCCAGCCAGGCAGTCAGCTGTGGTGGCCCCGCTCAATGCTTGTGGCGGGGCGGGGGCACATGTCGATTGAACAATGCTCAGAGGCGCTTTTTTTGGGTGGGTGTTGGAGAAAACAGAGGCAGGTCCTGTGGAGTAAGGATGCTGCCCAGTGGTTCCTTGCTCCCCCCCGTACCGTTCCCTTTCTGGTCAAAGGTGGCAGAGGCCAGCGGGGCCCTCGGTGTCACACGGCTCGTTCAGGGGCTGAGGTGCTCCTCAGGAGCAGGGGAGCGGAGATGGCTGGTCTCGAGTGACGCCCTGCATTCCCTCTGCAGTCGAACAGCACACACATAGTGTACAAGAACACGGTGTGGATTGAGAGTGCGAACAACACGGGCAACATCATCACTCGGGACCGGACCATCAACGTGGAATTTTCCTGCGCCTACGAGCTGGACATCAAGATCTCCCTGGATTCGGTCGTGCGGCCGATGCTCAGGTAGGAGGCGGGATGGGCCACGCAGCCGCTCCTGTTGTGCCGGTGCAGGAGCATCCAGGCAGAGAGCAAGGCAGCGAGTGTCCAAAGCGAAGTGCCGTGTTGGGGGTTTGTAGCCTTTCCTCCATCCAAGCCAGTATTTTTTGTTGTCATCGTTAGCGTGATTAACCTGACGGTGCCAACGCAGGAAGGGAGCTTCACAACCAAGATGGCTCTGTACAAGAACTCGTCCTACAAGCACCCATACAGGCAGGGCGAGGTGGTGCTCACCACCCGGGACGTGCTCTATGTGGGGGTCTTTGTCGTCGGGGCCGATTCCAACCACTTGATCCTGATGCTGAACAAGTGCTACGCGACCCCCTCGCGGGACAGCAATGACAAGCTGCGCTACTTCATCATCGAGGGAGGGTGAGTGACCACGGGACGTGGCACGGCGGGATTGAAGCGCTCTGCCATGGGACCCAGGGCGAGGGGCCTTACAGGTGGACAGGGGCAAGTGGCATCCCTCAGGGGAGGGTCCTGGTCACTGGAGGACCGGGGCGAGCATCAATGCTTCGCGCAGGTGCCAAAACATGAAGGACAACACCATCGGCATAGAGGAGAACGGGGTGTCACTGACATGTCGCTTCCATGTCACCGTCTTCAAGTTCATCGGGGATTATGACGAAGTTCACCTCCACTGTGCTGTCTCGCTCTGTGATTCGGAGAAATATTCCTGCAAAATAGTAAGTGGGGCAAGTGCCGTGGGATGGGTTGGTTGTTTTGCAGGGCTCCAACAGAGCATGGCAAGCCCAGTCAACCTGGCGCAGAGAGGTGGCTGGAGATGGAGCCCCAGGGGCGAGGCCGGGAGGGTTGTGTGTCCCTCCAGGCACTGGGAGAGCAGGGCTGGACAGAGGGATGCGGAAGGGGCCCGAGGGTGACGGAGGTGGGTTTTATCCCTGTGTAGAACTGCCCTCAGCACACCAGGATGGCCAGCGCGTTCGCTGCGGAGTCCAAGGAGCAGATCATCTCGGTGGGGCCTATTCGGAGGAAGCGTAAGTGTGTGCAACCCCAGGGAAGGCTGCCATGGGCGCGTGAGATCCTGGGGCACTGGGCCGAGGGGGGGTGTGTGCACATGTCCTGTGGGGAGAGGCTGCTCTTTGGGCAGGAATCGGGACAAGCTGGGGGGATTTTGCTGCCAGAAGGTGAGGGTAGAAGGTGTGTGGGTGCTAGTTGGATGGGTGCGCACGTGGGCCACGTTGGGGGTCTGCTTTGCTCAGGGACGTGTGTTCCTAGGGCTCTGTGGGCGGTCACACAGGAGATGGTGGGGTGGCGTGGGGCGCTCAGCTTCTGGCCATGTGGCCTTGCGCTGTGGGTGCTCCCGAAAGGTCCCTGGAGGGTTGTGAGCATCAGACGAGGTGCTGCTTTGGGGTCTAGCTGGGTCGTAGCATCATCCCCACGCTGCATGTGAGGTGCGGGCATGCCTGGCAGGTGATGGGTGTGCTCTCGTGGGTTGTAGCAGGGACTGTGGGAATGTGGGTCTTAAGCAGCCACGGATGGGAGCTTGGGGTCTGGGAGCATCTCTCAGGTGTCCCCCTTTGCTCTTTGTGCCCAGGATCGGACTGGTGCGAGGACAACGGAGGCTGTGAGCAGATCTGCACGAGCCGGGCAGATGGACCCCTGTGCAGCTGCGTGACGGGGACGCTGCAGGGGGATGGCAAGAGCTGCAGGGGCAAGTACCGGGGGTGGCACAAGAGCTGGGGCGAGTGTAGTGGGGGTCTTCCACACCTGAGCCGAGGGGCTGTAGAGGGGAGCGGCGTGGGGAAGGGGGCTGGAACGTGCGGCACGTCGCAGGTAGGAGGGAGTTGCCCATTGCGTGTGTGCCGGGGCCGCAGCTCACGTGGGTCGTCTTGTGTTGGCAGCCTCCAGCTCTTCAGGGGAGCACCGTGCCCAAGCGACCGTTCTGGTGGCGGCCCAGCTGTGGCTGTGGCTGCACTCAGCTCTGCGGGACCCGACCTCGTAGGCGCGGCTCCGCCGCCCAGCCAAGTACTGTTCTCACGTCAGCCTGAGTCTTTGTAGGGTAGGAGACAGCACCCCCACAGTGGCCAAGCTGCCGCCGCCCCGTCCTGCTGCGTGGAGGCGAGAGAGGGACTTGACCTGGAGAGAGATCAGACACAGACCTGGATGTGGAGCTGGCACGAGGCAGGCGCAGCATCAGCGACGGCGAGAGATGGATGTTTGCCAGCATAAGTGTGGGACTTGGGAGGGGGTTTTTTGCAGGTTTCTGGCATCGATGTGGGACTTGAGGAGGTTTTTTGCAGCTTTTTCCCAGGCTTTACCTTGTAGCATGCACTGCAGGTGGCCTCCACCATCTTTGGGAGCCGCTCTCGGTGTCTTGTGAGCGCACGGACTCGGTCAGAGGTAGGTGTTGCAGCATGGTTTGCGGGCTGGAGCGGCACATCATCATCGTCAGATGTTGTGACACCTCGGGAGCGTGTCACCCTCTGGCTCTCCAGAGCAGAGGTCATCAAGGCGTGCAGCAGACGGCCAAGTTCATGCCTGGGGTTCTGGGAAGCCTGTTAGTGCAGTGCGGGGGTGACAAGCCAGTCCCGGTGTTGTAAAGTGGTGCTTTCTGGTGGGCAGGAGCAGGAGCCAGAGAAGTGAGGGATGGAATTCCCTCCTGTGTTTGGTGCTGTGATACGGGAGGTTTTTTGAGGACAAGAGCAGGGTCGGGGTCCACAGGCACAGGGCGGAGTTGGGGTTCCGGGTGGGAGAGTTGCGAGCAGCCTTGGGGGGGCCGGTGGGTGTGGGGGGGCCTGTCTGTGTTGGTGTCTTGTCTTGTGTTTGTACTCTGTGAAACGGCTGCGTGGGAATAAAAAAGTGTTGTAATCCTTCGTAAGCGGTGTGGTCCTGTGTGAGCTCTGGACGAACCGGGAAGCGTTGCTCAGCTCCCAGAGCTACGCTGTCACTGGTATCAGTGAGACTTGGTGGAAGAAGTCCCATGACCGGAGCACTGGGATGGAGGTAAACAGGCTCTGTAAGAGGGATGGGCAGGGCAGGGATATAGGTGGAGCTGCCACACTGTATATAAGGGAGAGGTTTGATGGTACAGTTAGTGAGGAGGCGGTTGAGAGCCGCCGGGTGAGGATTAGGAGGATGGAAAACGAAGGAGATGATGTCGTGAGCATCTACTACCGATGGTCCAGCTGGGGTGTCCCTGCGGCAGCCTCCTTCATGTCACCCCCAGAGCCTGGGCCTCTGGCCGACGGTGGAAGGGATCTGAGCCCTGGGCTCGGCACTGGGGAGGCCGCCCCTCGGTGAGTGGGTTCAGTTTTGGGCCCCTCACCCCAAAAAGGCCATTGAATGACTCGAGCATGGCCAGAGAAGGGCAACGGAGCTGGGGCAGGGTCTGGAGCACAGGTCTGCTGGGGAGCGGCTGGGGGAACTGGGGGG